CTGAGCGCCGGCAGCCTGTGCTGGACAGTGGTGCACAGCCCACAGCACGGACAGGGTGGGGAGGGGTCGGGATGAGTAGGAAAGCAGGCTAGTTCCTGTTTGGAGCTCGTTCAAGTGCGCAGAGCCTTTTTTTTCAGAAGCTTAAATACCGTAAGAAATCGAGACACAGTGGGGTATGAAAGATATAAAAAAGGGTAGCTGGTGGAGGTGGTTTGCTGGTGTATTACAGAGGGCAGGAGCTCTGCCTGTTCAACATGTAGGAACCTGCCCTTGCCCCATTCCGTAGAAAGCAATACTGCTGGATAATCCAGATTTTAGCTTACACAGTCATGAAGGAGAGGAGGGGGATATGAACAATGCCCTCTCAATACAGTAAAATTGTTAAGCTACACTATGCAGCCTTTTCCTCTATGGTGGCAAAAGCCAGGAGTAGCTGGGGAAGGCTGAAGCACAATGGGAAAACATCACCCAGGAAAAAGAATAAAACAAAATATCAAAGCTCCAATATCAAAGCTCCACAGTTATCCTTGTCCATGCAGTTCTTGGCTATTTTTAAGCACCAAAACTGTGGTGCAAGAACTTTAGCACAGCAGAAAATCCACACAGCACACTGGAGCAGTCTTCAGCAGCTGTACATGGACTCCAAAATGAAAGAATTCACACTTTCCCTTAGTTGCATTTATTGTGCATGAACTTGAGTCACATTTATTTGTTTTCATAGAAATTATGTAAATTTATATATAGAGTCACATCAAAACCTGAGTTATAAAAACAATGACATTTGTATTCCTTATATGTATACTATAAAATCCTGGCTGCATTTTCAAAAAGAAGAGTTTAGTGTTAGGTAGCAGCAAAACCTCCAGTGTTTCTCATTTTCCTTTAAATGAGAAAATCCTCATATTTGTTGTACACTAAACACTATTACTGAAGTTGTGCCCTACAGCTCGGTTGGATTAACTTTCTTGTTTTATTTATATTCAAATACAACACCACTCCTCATGAGAGCCTTCTTCCCAGTTTTGATGAGTGATTATCCTGTCTCCCCACAGAGGTATTTGCTTTTAAAATAATTCTTGGTCTACACTGGTAGACACAGTAGTACCCAGAACTGTTATTTTACCAGCTCTCCCCATAAATCCATAAAATAGAATCACCAATTCTTGTTTCCCCATCTTCTAGAAGACCTGTCTTCTGCTGCTTTTTACCTCACCACATCCACCATTTTAGCTTTTGAAACAAGACGACATTTTTTAAAGAATTAAAGTAAATAGCAAGGATGTGTGTAACTGATGCATCTTTAACAGGATCTTTAAACCCATTCAACACAAATTAGTTACTAGGTCAATAAAAAAAGCTTACTCAAATATTTTTGTATTAAGTTAGTTCTGTCACCAGAGTAGGAATCTTGTTAATTAGCTGACAAAGACTCCTAATAACAGGAAAGTCCTAGTTTTCTGCTCCCTGAAGATGCCTCAGCCATGTTTTAAAGCTGGAATTCTGAACAACCGCTCTGACTGCTTACTGTTTTATACCACATACTCAGATTTGCCATTCTAGGTAATCCACCACTTTTTTTATATCTGAAATTGGATACCAAGTTTCCCCACTGATACAGGGAACAGATTCATTCCTTTTCTTAACAATGGCAAAAAGAAAATCTACCTAGAAAGCAAGTATCCACCTTGTATAGGACTACTGAAGTACATCACCTCTAACACTGGAAGAACTGGGACTCAGTGACAGGACACATCTAGTCTCAGCTTCAGCACTAGAACCTGAAGACATCCTTTGTAAAGTCAGATTTTTCCAGAAAAAAAAAAAGTATTACAGAACTATAAAATACTTTGGTAGTTTGAGGTTTAAAGGTTACAGCAGTACAAAATAATAACAACAACTGAACAAAGTTAAACCATTCCCTCCCATACCAACTTTAACCTATTAGGAATTAAAAATCCTTGACGCTCCAGAACTTTTTTCTGAATTGATGATTTGAAAACAGCCAGAGTGTCCAGCTGTAATAGATTTACAGCATATGCAGAGGTCATCCTTCCACTTCTATTTCAAAATACAGACGATGATTGAAGGATCATCTGTACAAAGCAGTCTGAACATTATGTTACCTTCTGTTTCCTCCAGAGCTCCAGGAGCAGATTTCCAAATGCTGTTAAGTTTTGATTTGCTGAGATGTTAGTGCCAATAGTCTCTTGCTGAGCAGTGCATTGTGTCGCTGAAGATACTCTATTACATCTCCTTGCTTCTCAACTATCTCTTCTAAACTCGAGTTTTCCCTTGAAGTAACCAAAGTGAATATGAGTTTCAGTGACAGCAGTTTTCTAACATACGTCAGCTAGTTAAAAATACTTAAACAAGTTCAGTTTTACTTTTGTTGATCTGAACTAACTTTGGAGGAAGGAGACAGGCTACAACATCTTTACGTTTAACCTTCATTTTGCATGAGAAGGCAGGAAGAGAAAAAAGTTTGGTTGAAACTCATGCCACATACACATAATGGAATTACGTATTTCCTGCCAGTTACATAAAAGTTGTGGTATTATAAGGATTATTACTGGTTAACAAGCTTTTGGTTAATGAGCCAGACAACATGCCAAAGTTGTACTATTAAATCCACAGCTCTTTATCCATTAGGAAGTTCATATTAAGCAGATACAGTATTTTTACTTAGCTACAGAGATAATAATCTGTTTAAGACAAATATCTTTATTCACCTGCAGTATCATACATGATACTCTATTATAGTGATATTATCTGTCACAATACCATAACAGCAGCAGTACCAAACAGGTGTGGATTTCAGATCTACAACCTTATGCACAGCTAACCTCCCACTTTTAATATCTCCAGCTTTCAGACATCCTTTATTTTAACTAGGAGACTAACATTGCAACAGTAAGTAAAGTTTATTCAAGAAAAATATGTAAAAGTACAGAATTCTGTGAAATACATAATTAGGAACTTCTAAAAATACAGCAAGAATAACAATGCCTGAGCATATTCCAGCCTTCCCTTACACATTATTTTTCCCTAGCAGACTTGGGAATCTGCTGCCTCTGTACACATGTGAGCATTTTGGAGCTTAGAAAGTTGTTCCTCAGCCTTGCAGCATTTTGTGAAGAAACACGGCCCTTTTCCTAGTTCTTAGAAAGTGCTAAGGAGGATAGCTACAGTGGAAAATTAAGTCCAATAAAAAACCTACTGTAGTTAAACTGGGAAAAATAAGTTTTGTAGACAGAAAACTTGTAAACTTGACCAGCAATCTGCACTATCAACTAAAGCACAAGAAAAGATCTTGATCAGTAGTTTAGGTTGTAGAGGTCATAATATTAAAAAAACATTCTTATAACCAGGGTCAGCTGAAGGGCTGACAGGATTCACTTTTCAATAGACTTTAACTCTCAAGGGAAAG